AGTAAGAAAGCATACCTCTTATGTAGCCCTTGATCTCCATGCTTGAGATCTTGAACCTCCATGAAGTTGCTTGGATGAAAGGATCCAAACCAGAATCCCTCTAATGGTATCACACTCAATGACACCAAAGAGTGGAATAAAATAACTAGGAGAATGGTCAATTTCACAAACCCAAAGGGGTTAGAAATCGTCCCTAAGAGGGGAGGAAGAAGGGTTGGCGAATACTTCAAGCCAAGGTGCAAGGAGAAATGAAATCCCTAAGACCCTATTTATAGCCTTGGATGTCTCCTTAGGTTTAGTACTCCTTCCCATGTGGGATGGAGGCATAACCACGAAATTTCACTCCTTTCCCATGTGGGATGGAGTGATTTGCATCCAACCCTAATTCCATAAGGTTCTGGAACATTCCTGATTAACCAACTATCGATTAATGAACATTCAACCATTTAATTAATTATACAGTTAACTATTCCCAAAATATATTTCCAAAATATATTTCCAATTAGTTTCTAATTAATTATTAATCATAATAATTAATAAACTAATTTCTCCTTTATTTATCCTACTCAATTTGGGTCTTGAGGGCAACCCAAAAGGACCCTGCTATTATCAGAAATATTACCAATAGTTAATGACATTGGACACTATTCCAACAGTTTCGTGGATTAGGGTTTGGGACATGGAGGTTGGAAATGAGGCCAAGGGGTGGGGGTTAAGGAGCTTAAATAGGTGCAAAACCCCGAAATTAGGGTTTCACTCTGGCCGATCTACTCGCCGAGTCGAGGGCTCTTGACTCGTCAAGTAGATAGCTTAAACCCCGCGTATATTCTGCCCTCTATTCGACGAGTTAGGGCCACCAACTCGTCGAGTTACCCTTTCAAAATTAATAAATTAATAAGTTAAATGCATAGCAGGAACCAGGCGTTACAGCATCCCACACCATTTGTGACGAGGTAGATCTCGAAACAAGAGCCAAGGCACGCTCTGATAATGTGGAATTCGGCCAAAGCAGCACATACCGATCCCGTTTCTTCCATGTAGTGAACTCAGGATTAGGTTCGGTTGAAGCGGGAGTGGTTTCTGTGGCCGGAACAACTTGGGTTTCTGGTGGAGGTTTAGGGTTGATGATATGTGATTCAAGATCAAAAGTTTCTAGGGTTGACACAATATTTGTCTTCCACAAGGCGTAATTATCTCTATTGAGTTTCACACTGATAGATGGTATTTGAAAATTGGGAAGAGAATTGAAGTTTGTTAGTGACAGTATTCCTGCCATTTATGTGAAGCAGTGAAAGAAAAAAAAAAGGAAAAGAAAAAGCTGGCGCTCTGATACCATAAAACGAATTTGTATTCTGCTTGTTCAATCAAGGAGCGTCCAAATCAATTTATACAAAAGAGAAGGTACGAAAAATACATGGAATAAGGAAATAAAAAAGGGCACGTTGGTATGCACATGTGAGACTAAGTCTTGGGCTAAGCTCTTTTACTTGGTCCATAATTTTTGTGTATTAGTGTATAACTCAGATGTTTAAAATATCCATAATAACATCATCATGGATTCAACATAAGATAAGTTCTTTGAAAATAATTTTCCTTACAAGGATAAAGGAAAAATGTTTCCTATTTAAAGAAAAAAAACCTCTAGATGAAGGAGGACAAGGAGGACCGACCAATCTTGACAAAAGTTTACATTCAAATAAAAAAAAAGTTATTCTAAGGTTCAAGAAGAGAACTTAAACCTAGAGAAGTAAACAATAGCCAAAAATTTTGGATCCAAATTACATGACAATCATAATAAATAACAAACTCCAAACACAAGGAATTTATGAATTCATTTGAAGCTTCTTATTGGAAAGAGGCAATCAAAAGTGGAATCGACTCCATTGCATAGAAAAACACTTGGAAATTGATAGATTTGCCTACTAAACAAAAATCAATTAGGCACAAATGGATATTCTAGAAGAAGTTTGAACCTGATGGTAGTATAAGGCTAGCTTAGTAGCTAAAAGATATAACAAAATAAAAACAAACATTTATGTCAATTCATTAACAATTTAGTTAACAACCTCTAAATATGGAAATTTATGCTTTATGACAACGAATTCAAACAAGAACCATATAGGATTACACATTATACGCCTGCTCAAAATCCAAAATGGTGCTTCGCTCCATATTGAATCTGGCAAGGGAAAGGGAAGATCACAACGAAAAACCCCGTATCACATTACTCTATAAATATATGTATATATATAACCTAATACCATCATAACCCAACTTTCCTAACATCTTAAACTTCACCTCTTGCCATTTTCATACTTCTGGATTCTACATCAATGCTCATATTACTACCATTGCATTTTCCCATCATTTTACACGAGATCTTTCCAAACACTTCCTCCCTTTGAGGCCGGTTTGCATACATAATCCAAAGTGCAAGACTAAGCATCACTCCTACAGAAACAAGAGCCAACCCTGCATTCACCATTCGAAGACGATCTTCTAATGGAGGGCAATGATCGGAGGTGATGATTCTGAATGTTTCACGTACAAAATTGCAGTCTTGAAGGCTGAGCAATGGTGGTGCATAGTGTTGCAGGGCATAGCTTATGTTCACTGCTCCAACCAGTTCCTGATACATCTCCGGTGTCAATCTTCCTGTGCTCCTGCAATAACCTGATTCCGACACACTGCAAGTGTAGTTCTGCCACACCTGTAAATCCAAAAGTCAAGCTAGTCAAATCTGGAAAATGTACAACTATCGATGCACAAGGTACAAGTCACTACACGATCACACTTCCAGGAAAAGATTTTGCCTATCTACTAAGAACCCCAAATGCAAAAATGGGTGTTTCAAATCTTGATAAATGTACAAAGGTATCCAAGTTGAATAGGGAGCTAAAAAGGTTGAATCTTGAGAAATGTACAAAGCCCAATGCATGAGGTACAAGTCCCTATCGAATTACTTCAAGGAATAAAACTTGCGGGATGTACTAGAACTTCAAATACAAAATTGGGTGTTTTTCAATGGTACAAAGTTACATAATACTAAAGTTCGTAACCATAACCACATTAAACACTGTAACAAATGAAACACCTCGATATTTTTTGGGATTCAATTCATAACAAAATTCACACAAATTCGGAAGATGAAAGTTGGTCAAAATTGACCTTAAAAGGTCAAATTCACGTACCACAGAAGCGTTTGCCATTGAAACCAATTGGGAGGGGCATTCTAGGTCGTGCAGTTGAGAGTCATACGGATAGCAAAGATATGGCATCAAAGGTCCAGATTGGTTGTAGTAATTAGAGTTCCCTCCAGGTGGCGCATTTGAATTGGCAAAAGAACCTATGAATCCATTGATGATATTTGTAATATCATTAACCACTAATTTGCTTTTATACAATGTGTCATTAGTAGTTGCTTGATCAACACATGGAAGGATGTTGCTAAGGGCAGTTTCGGCATGTGGATTATCCACCCATTGACCCATTGCCATACAAGTGTCCGTGATTGCACTGAAAAAAAAAACACATTAGCGCATTAGTTTGGTAATGGGCAATTTCGTAATTTTAACTTATCACATTGCCAAAAACAAGAAAGTTTGGAACTTTACTTGTTGATAATCACAAAGGCTCCACATAGAATGAAGGTAACTGCAACAAGCAGCCATCCACTGATAATGAATCTGCATAAAGAGATACGATGAGTTAATTACAATTATACCCTTCAAAAAACAAGTCCATAAAACGAACTTTACATGTAGATTGTGTTCTTGTGACCAAGGATAGACAAAACTGCAATAAAACGAGGGAAAACACAATGAAAATCATAAAAAACAAGCCAAAAAACAATCATGTTATGAATGGAAGTAAGTAGCTTCATGCTTTTAATGCATACTTACAAAGGCCTAAAAGTGAAACAAGAAGCATCACTACAGCAACAGCAATCATTGACAATCGCCTAAAACACACAAAGAATCAGACACTTTTTCAAAATTTAACATAAATAGGATAATAATCTTGTGTTCATAGGAGGAATCATACACTGTATCAAAAACGGTTTTTATCGTATGTGAGTTTTGATTCGTTTTCAGCCTCAATGTATTTGCAGCATTGTTTAAGTCAACATTCAAGTGGTCAATATCATCTTTCACATCTGAAGGAAGAAAAACCTGGGCCACATTTACAGTTTTTGCTAGTGACAAATACCCCGTGACATTTACAAGTGTTTGAACAGTGTAATCTGATTGGTTTACAACATAATTCAACGTATCCATAGCTTTCCCATGAAATTGATCTTGTCCCACTGAAAGAAGTATGCACCCAATCCTGTGAAGCAATATGATTGTTACCAAAATTCACAATAAAAATCAATAATAAAGTTGACATAATATGAAAAACTTACGCAGAAGCACATGTGAAAACAAGAAGCAGAATCAAGCAAAGCCTTTGAGAGCTGTGTGATTGTTGGCCTTTAATGTCTATTCTCCATCCACAACAATGGTGGATGATCATGGCCAATCCAAAGGACACAAACCATAATATTGCAAGAATGAAAGCAGCAACGCCTGTAAATCCAACAGACTGTTGATAATTTCACTAAAAGCTTGAAAATTTGGATATTTTAATGTATGAATGCGACTAAATTTATGAATCTTTCAGACTTACAGCCCAGTAATGTTTATTGGTAATGTCCCATCCAGCTTGATAATGTTTGAAATGGTTAAGAATGTCGGGTCTTTTTGTTCTTGATCCTGCTAATACAAGTGTGTTGGGTGGATAGTTGGAGGGAGAAGGAGCTTCAGTTGCAGGTGTTGAGCTTAAGATCCCGTTTCTCCAATGGCCGAAGTTATCTTTCCCTATGATTAAAAGATTTAATTTCGCATAGGAATTGTGTATTATTAACATAAGTGCAGAAATGTTATAATTCAACAAAAGCATCATATTCGTTGTTAATGTTGATTTCAGTACAAGAAACGAAATGACTGGAAACTAACGACCTAAAGATAGTTAACGTGATATTTGGAAGCAACGACATTAGCATAAAGAGAAGAGATTGAACAGGCTGAAAAAGAGCCGGTTCGGTGAGGAAACATCTTCCAATAATCTCCAGTGTAAAGGGCGTTCTCTTCAATGTTGAAAAATTTGTCATTGTCGTTGTTAATTTTGGACCAATTGATATTCGTAAAAGAGATGATGGCATATCGTTCCGCTAGTTCTTCAATCTCATGGTGGGCATGAGAGAAAGTAACATCTAAATCATTCGGAATAGGTCGCAGTGGTTGGAATCGAGTAGAGGTAAAAGGAGTGATTTGGTTATCAGGCGGGTAAAGCCACCGTGACACGGCTGCGGATTGTTTTGGGCGGCCACGGACAGATGTGGAGCCGATTCCGGCGGTGATGATGGACTTTAGAGGAACAGACTCTTTGAAGTAGCGACTGTACTTTTCCATGACAATGGCTACTTTTGGGAACCATGCAATTTGATCGGTTCCATTTTGGGTAGCAAAACCTAAAACTTGTTTGAAGTTTGTCAAGTTAGGTTGGTTAGCACCGAGGTGGAGTCTTGTAAAATCACCAAGTACAGAAGCCCAGAAGTTGCGGGCAATGTCATGCTGTGACTGACTTACAAACAGAGAACCACAGGTTTGTGGTCCTACAAAGTAGAGGCGTTCAGCGTCTTTAAAATCGATGTTGAAGACGTTTGAATACCATTGAAAAGTGGTGTAATTAGAGTCTTGACCAGGATCAGGAACAGAAGCTCCGAATCTTGCAAGTTGATCGAGCATGAGAGCAGGAAAAGGTATCTGTCTTGCGTAGTTGTGAGATGGGGATCTGGTGGTGTTATCCCAGAATTCATGGAAGCTTGGGAAGCGAGGGAGGATATCGGCTATCCAGTCGAAAGGGCCGTTGACGGCGGCGATGGATTCGAAGAAAGAAACGAGAGGACCGGGAATCATGCACCAGTCGATACCAAGGCATCGGATAATGCCATTAAGAAGCGAGGAATGGTGGAGAGCTCCATGTCCATGATTAACAGAGACTCTGAGAATATGAACGACCCATAAAACAGAGACGTACAGCTGTGAGACAATTGGTATCCACCCAGGGCTAGAGTTCAAGAAATCTTCAGTATTATTCATCATTTGATCACAAATACTCAGGATTTAAAACATCATCTGGCTGTCAGGGATGAACAAGTTTGGTGAATGACGGTAGATGGTACGAAACGGAAAAGCAGAAGCTAGCTTGAGCAAAGGATGAGCACCGGTGACTGCGACAGATGGAGCAGCAGCAGCAACTGGGCCGCGTGGGTTACGACTGCGACGGTGGTTAGGAGCAGCGCCGCTGCCGGGTTGTGCTAGCGGTGGGTGGTGTGCCATTAGGGTGCTACTATAGTTACACTAGTTTAAAGGGCCTAACAATATATTTATACACTAAAGAAAATGACCCAATGTCTCTACACTACATTGATCCAATTAGAAACAGACATATTCACCAAACTCCAAACAACAAAACAGCAAAAATGAAAAACCCCAATTCCAAAACTCACCAAATTTATAATCTTCATAAATCATATTAATGAACTTTAATGATGGAAAACATGAACAGGAAGTAAAGTATGACCAGAAAGTGACCTATCAGTTTACGAAACATTCTCAATTTCGAAGAAAAATTCAACAAGAACCTTGAATCCTTAACCCCATTTTTAGAAAATTCAGAAATTCGATTAAAGATGATTTCTTTGTTGGTGAAACATGTTGAATTCCGCAAACACGAAAAAACCCAGAACCGACATATCAATAAGCATTAAAAAGATCATATAAAGGGAGCAATGGTTGCGAGCAAACCTAATATAAACTTGGATTGATCTTCTGATTGTACGGATAGAGGTGAAACAGAGGTGATGAAGACGATGAAGAACAATAAAGACAAGGGGTTCTTAGCCATTCTTCCTTCAGGTGCTGATGATGTTTGAAGTTGAAAATTTCAGTCAAGAAATCAAAGGAACCCCAAATTCTTGATAGTCTTGAAATCCATTTATATGATTGAATTACGGAAAGAAAACACGAAACATGACGAAAGCTCGTCTTTCACATTAGTCTTCTAAGCTGACGTATACGTATAGAAATTGTGTATATATAGAGAGAGTGAGAGATCGGGATGAGATGAGGGTGTGATCGCACATGGGTGATGGAGGCGAAGAAGCGAAAAGGCGGGTAAGGAAGGCTGTGTGAATGCAGGAGTGTACAGATTACAGAGAAGAAAGGTATATAAGAAGATTTATGGGTTTTATTTGTCTTTTCTAAAATAATATCAAATTTTAATGTATAAACTAGAAAGGTTACCCCGCTATGCGGGGACCATAAGCTTTCAATGTTGTTTCTGAATTGATAAATATGACAGACATAGAAAGTGCAAGGATGAAAAGTCCGGGCTTTGCCCCGGAAAAAAAATGTAAAAGTTTTGACTGCAAAGACCAAAAGTGTGAAAATGGCTAAAGAATTAAAGGGGTAGGAATTAACAACTTTTTAGAAAAGGGATTAAAGTTGGCAAACCGTTAAAGTTTTGTGGCCAAACTTTAAATATTAAAAGGTTCCAAAAAAGTGTAAAAATATTGATTGCAATGACCAAAAGTGTCAAAATGGATAAAGAATAATGACCAAAGTTGCCAAAAAAACATCCAAATTTAGTATTCCTAACTTTCAACAATAATACAGGGACCAATTCTGCCATAAAAATGGGAAGTTGAATGGAACACATACCCAACAATAATACAGGGACCAATTCTGCCAAAAAAATGGGAAGTTGAATGGAACACAAGCAAAAGGACATGAATAAATTAATTAAAGAAGTACAGGGACCGGATATATAAATCAAGGGACCAAACCTGAACAAAATATCCCAAGTTTACTATTCTTTTCTTCCACAACTTTAATATATATATATATATATATATATATATATATATATATATATATATAATAATGCGTAATAAAAAATAGCGATCTTTATGATCGATAGTTCAATACATAAAAATATATATTCTATTAAATAAAATAATAGAATTAAAATCGAAATATATTATAATAAATCATAAAATTAAACAACTATCCCCGATTTTTAATGAGCATTTATAAACAAATAATACTTTTTGAAACAGAAGAAAATGCGTCTAATCCATAATAAAACTTGGTCAAAAAGCCGAAAAGAAACATAAAAATATATAAAAAAATCACGAAAGTGGGATTTTAGTTGTTTCGGTGATATAAGTTTTATTTATTTTATGAGACCGACTTCTTGTCTTTTAAACATGGTAAAACATAAAATAATAATGTGTTTTTATTTCCGGGGTGTATTTTTATTTTCGTGTTAACTTTCTATTATTGTGTATAATATTTTTAAAATACATAATTATATAACCGATTGTAGATTAATGGTCAACACATGCAGAGATGTTAACGAGTCAAACCGAGACTGATTATAATCGAACCAAGTTTGTTTATAGTTATAGAAGTTAGAACTCGTTAAGAGTTTTTAGTACCAGATAAAAAAACAAAAAAAAATGTGTATATTTATTTAATAGAATTAGTTTGTTGACAACTTGGTCAACAAAAGCCATCGAAATAGTTTGTTTCTAAAAAAAAAAAAAAAAAAAACTATGTTAACCCTAAAATTAATAAAATATAAAATAAAATTAGCTGTAACATTTCTTCTCTTGCAAGATAACAAATGAACAAATAACAAACATGGAAAACGAAAGCATAGTAAGGATGGAAACTTGCTTTAAAGAAAAAAGGAGTTAGGCACCTTGTCCTGAATGTTTCTTTGATAAATTACCCAAGTTTAATTCTTTTCCAATGAATACATTAGAAAATGGGAAATTTTCATGATCTAAATAAAAAACGTTTTACATTAAAGTTCGAAATTTTAAAGACTAAATATGCATAGATCATACTACCATGATACAGAAAAGCGACATTTAATTTAGGTGCAACATTTATATCGGGTTCGTTTTACATGTGGGCCTTCCCGGATCTTAGTGCTTTCCTCTTTTTAATGCTTTTAATAGGTCCCACGTGACCACCACATGTTGCCTAATTTACCACTAATCACTCTTTTGTTTCGCCGCTAAATGACCATTTTTCCCATAGTTTATTTGTCTCATAACTATATTATTCAATTGAGTAATATGTAAAAATGTTCCCTTATTTTATTATTATTATTATTATTATTATTATTATTACTATTATTATTATTGGTTTTTTCTTATAAAATTACAAAAAGTATGTTTGTGACAGGTTTGTCATTGTCTCTATGATATTTTTCTTCTCCTTTCTAAATAAACTCTAAAATATAATACTTTCAACCAAAATCTCAACAATTAAATGTAAACTTAATCATAACAAAATCCAAACCCACAGGCCACACTCAGATTGTTGCGAGTACGAAAGAAACTAACCCTTTGGTTGTAGTGATTTGGTAAAATATACAGAAAATATAGAAAATATAGTGATAATTTATTGACTCATGTTCAAATCCTAATATTACTCGGTTCATATAGTCATGGAGGTTCATCTGCACTGACTTTCAGCACATGAGACATAACCTTATGTTCGCAGAAAGGGATTAGTCGGTGCACAAAAGTTGGCACGAAAACCCTCGTTAAGGAAACTCTCTTTCAAAAAAAAAAAAAAAAAAAAACAAATTAAAGAAACAAATGGAAGCAAATTGTAGCAAGCTACGGAGATGAATCCACAACAAGGTTAGAGATGGCATACATTCCTTGGTCGTCATGGGATGATGGGTAGCAACCATATTATATACGTGGTACAAGATTAAAGTTATATTAGTGTGGTCTAAAAAGACTATAATGTTGATCAATCAGAAATGAAGTCAAAAAAACTTGAACAAAAGTTATGTATGAACTGTTTCATGACTTTGAAAAACTCGTGATCATAACATAAGAAATCAATGTGATGGCGTTATGGAAACTTATAAGTTTTATGTAACTATAGCAAAGTGGTTTGAGAAGTAGTCTACCATTATGAATTGGAGAATTATTTACGACATGGTATTGTTGGACATGTAAATATGTTAAATGGAATGGTTGACACTTGTAAATTCACCAATATATGTTTTATATGTAATATATTACTTATTAGTTTAAAGAAAATCGGTAAAAAATTCCTTATATTTTGACTCTATTGACAAAAAAAATCATTCATGGTTATTTTTTGTAATTTAACCATTGAAATCGCTAAACACTTGCAAAACAACCATTGTAACTAGTTTAGTGTCGATTTTAAGTGTTAAATTTGAAAAAAAAAAAATCATGGATGACTTTTTCGTTAATAATGTTAAAGTTTAAAGACTGTTCTGATGATTTTCTTTATTATATATATTAAATTTATTTGAATAAACCTTATATTTATTTATTAAAAAACATAAAATGATTTTCTCATGATATATATATATATATATATATATATATATATATATATATATATATATATATATATATGGCCTAGAAATGCAATCCTTACGACAAATCAACAAAAGTCATAATAATTGTATTTAGCATGTGTGTTTTATAACTATTGTAGCTCTTATATTATGATTGTTGCCATAAAAGCCCTCATATTTACATGAAATGTATGGTTATGTCCTAAGTCTAAATTTATGTTTATTAATGCCTCATAAGTATGTAACTTTTGACATTTTAGGCTTTTTAGAATGTTATGAAGAGAAAAACCAGTAGGTGAACGATGATAACGATGATGGGTTGGAGATGAAGAATGCAGAAGGTGGGTCGGAGATGGTGTTGATGGGGGCTATCGGTGTGGTGAAGATGGTATTGTTGGTGACAAAAGGTGGTGGTGGTGACAGTATAGTGTTGGTGGCAAAGCGTGGTGGTGGTAACATCCTCTGATATACATTTATTTTCTGAAGTGTCGTTGATTGTGAAATGATCTTCGATAAGTTGTAGTTTTATGGTAAACGTTTTACACCCAAGACCTAAAAATTTAACAATGAAGTAACATTTGGCCTAGAAATACACTTCTTGAGACAAATCAACAAATTCCTCTTAAGTTATATAGAATATAGATGATATTTTTATGATTTTAGTAATGATATTTATTAAAGAGAATCACAAAAAATTCCAAACATGATATATAAATTATCATTATTGTGTTTTTTTATTAAAAAAAATTATCTTTATTTTGAGTTTTTTAATAAATAAATATAAGCTTTCTTCAAATAAATTTAATATATATAAAAACAAAAATCTCAAAAAAAAATCTTAAACTTTAACCTTATTAACGTAAAAGTCATCCATAATTTTTTTTTTTTTTTTTTGCAATTTAACCATTAAAACCGC